ATTTGTAGACGACATGCCGTCGACGGCCATATTTAGAAACCAGCTGCAGGTTGTTTTGTTGATTGGATATAAGTAGTTATCAAGAGATACTCTTTCCCATGTAAACTATTTTGTCGAAAATTCTCGACCTATGGCACTCTGTTTCTATTAAAATCTGTTTTTTCGTCAAGCACCTGTCGCCTCCCTACGTCCAACAACTGAGGTACTGAGTACTTACACTTAAAAGTGACACTGTTTGACAATGTCAAATTGGTAATTAATTTTCGAAGTTATTTACATTTGGAAATAAACTGATATTGACTGAAGGATTTTTCGCAATACGGTCAATAAATTGAAAATCTGAATAGAATATGAACGACAGGTTTCGGTTCTTTCTCCATCTATCAGCATATCCAACCTACAAGGTTTCCAGATATTGGCTTTTTCAAATAGTAGTTCCCGAAAAATCAACCGTTCACTCATTTATTGTAGTGGAACATTAAAACTTCTACAGAAAATATGAATATTGTAGACCGTCAGGCTGTTTATCTGTTTTTTTTTAATACGCTAATAACAAGGCATACAACCAACGGCTTGGTATCCATAAATTTGGGAAAATGCCAGAACAAATGCCAAAATTTCTAAAATCAAACCCACAAAAATTTACTGGACACGGTTTCCGCAGAAGTTCTGCTAGATCGTTAGTGGACTCTGGGACAAATATAACCACGTTAGAAAGGTGTGGGGGTTGTTGATCATCAACAATGGCTGAAGGTTATATTGAAGACACTTCATCATTGGGTGCTGAAGCCATCAATACCACTTACACATGAATGGACTCTGCTACAACAACTAATTGATCTACATGAGTGCACAATTGAAAGATTCTCACCACTATTATATCTGGTTTTTTCAAAAGGACACTCGAAATTGTTTGGAGTATAACTTTATACTTATCGTTATTCTCAAACCCTCTTGTTAAAAGGTTTGTCGTTTTAATGGCATGTGTTTTTGTTGTTCAATATCTCATTAAATATTTATTCTACTGTATATACTAATCTCGATAGACGCTGTTTATTTTTATGAAAAATTTCATTTTTTGCCTCTTTTCAGCTCATTACTATATGATGTTTTAGCGATTTTTGCCAATTTTTCTCTACGAATTCAAATTGAACCAATGAGCTGCCGAAAGAGCCTGAAAAAATAACCAGGCATCTCTGTCTGTATCTGTAGAGTAGGGAGGGTGAGTGTAAGCCCACGCACTTTGGCCACATGTGACCCATTGTACATCCTCCCGAGGAGTTGTCCTCCTAGGTCATCATCCATCCTGTCCTTTCCAGGAAGGTGGATATGTCACTAAGAGACATCTTCTTTATATCGGCACGTGTAGGCCAAGACTCGCCGAACACACACTCTCTTATTGACGTTCGGGAGGTTTTGAGCCCGTTAAACTTCTTTTCCTGGTGAAAAGGACCATCTCAGTCTTCTTGGGATTGATCGACAGTGAGTGTTCCTTACACCATGTTTCTATTAATTTGAGCCCATCCTGCGCTCTATCGCACAGTGTGTTTACAAATTTACCGGTCTGCAAGATAACTATATCATCTGCGTATGCAATTGTGTAGAATCCATTTTTGTTAAGGTGATTAATTAGGGTATCCAGAACTATGTTCCAGAGAAGGGGTGATAAGACCTCTCCCTGTGGACATCCCCTCATGACCAGTCCAGGCATTTGGCAATGACAGTATTAATGAATGCACTGTTCGAAGTGGTCGTCCTACAGTACCCCAGGACGAGGATTTGAGGTCCCTGGATGGTTTTTGACGGTTTAAAACGTATTGGAAAGTTCAAGAAGCTCGAAAAGTGGATGTCCCACGATTTGAACGGTCCACAAAAATTGTCACGTTTCGAGATCTGTTCTTCTCTGCTTTTGCGCAAAGTGGATCCTCTACAACAGGAGACGTTCAGGACATTGGTTGGACAGGCACTTCCGAAAGGCGAAAACCCACCGAAAAAACACCATGAATAGTGTATAGTGGTCAGCGGCTGGTGCGATTCACTTTAACTTTCAGCAACCAGGCCAAACCATCACAGCAGAGTCCTATTGTGAGGAAATAGACGAATGGTACCCAAAATTGCATCAGCAGCAGCCGGCACTGGTCGTCAGTGCCAATATTGCTCCACGACAACGCCCGTCCGCACGTTTCACAAAACACCGTCCGAAAATCAAACTAATTGAGCGGTCGAAGTTCTGCCTCACCCAGCATATTCCCCATATACCTCGCCATCCGACTACCATCTTTTCAAGCACTTTGCTAACTTCCTCATCGGTAGAGCCTTCGCCAATCAGAACCAGGCATAAACGGCCTTCTTCGATTTCATCGAATCCCGAGAACACAATTTTTATGCTGATGGAATCAATAGAATTGTGTTGGCAACAGTGCATTGATTCTAATGACTCTCACATCGATTAAATTGAATGAGTATTCACTGATATATTACAGTTTAAAGTAGACTCATGAAAACGGACAAAACTTTTGAAACCACCAATACATCTATCAAAAACAACGTTAACGTTAGTGCCATTGTTTTTACATGAGTATTCAATGTACTGTTATTTACATTAACTATTACATGAAGATTTTTTTCTAAAAAAAAGCTTTGCCAAACTGTTTTTTTATGTAAATATACATAGGTAGTTTCAATTAAAAAAAATTGTCTTTTCTGAATTCAATGAATATATTTATAAACAAAAAGTGAAAAACTATCAAAATGGGAGCTGTTTCCAACGACTTCTGAAGAAATGACTTTGTTCGACAAATGCAAAGAACTTGTAAAAAAGCAGTGGAAAGTGCAAATAAAGCCATTCGAACATAACTAGTAAATCTAATTCATTCAGCTGAGGATGGTATATTTGGACAACACCAGCCATATTACTCTACCCTAATCTACACTTGGTTGTGTAAAACAGGTGAAAACAATTTTTTCATTAAAAATTTAATAGGGTTGAAACAGTTAATTTGGAATTTCAAATTAAGCTAAATTTAACCTTCAAGATCTGACCAAAAGAAAACAGATCATTGACATTATTAACATATTTATTCCAGAAATATTCCTAAATATTGTTTGAAAATGTACTGTTAGTTGTAAAGTTAGTTGTTAGTTGTAAAGACAGAGGGGGCAATTATCAAAAACGTGATATTATTCCCTGCTTAGCTGAGCATGTTGTCTCTAGGTACTTTTACAGTTAAGTACATACATGGAGGTATGAGCAATCGATACCTTCAAAAAAAGCAATATATCCAGATAAAATAATAGTTCAAACCATTCTTTTTCTAATATTAAATGAAAAAATAATAACATTTAATAAATTGATGGATATAGCCGTTATGAGAAATAAAACTTTCCATGTTTTTTACCACTTTTATTTGTAACTAATGTTATTGCAGTTTCGTCTTATAAGGACAATAATTGTTTGAAAACGTCCTTATAGGACAAAACTGCCGTAACATTAGTTACAAATAAAAGTCGCAAAAAAACATAGAAAGATTTATTTCTCATTTTCCATAACATTCGATGTTGTAAACATAGACGGTTGTGGAATTGTTTTCTAATCGGAAATACAATTCTATACCTACTACTATCCTTCTACAACATGCTTGGTGAACATAACACATTCACAATATACCATTAAATATAAAAATATATAGACCTGAAACTTTAGAATGCAACATAAAACTGATCATGAAATGAAAAGTTCATGGCAGATGACTTCAGTGCCAGTTGGAACTACTCAACAGTTTAGCAAACATTAAAATACAAACAGACCTACACATTCATCTAACATCAAAGAGGTTCAAGGATCCATTAAAAAATGTAAATATCAAAACTGAAATAATGACAATTCTGGAAGAAAATTGTGCAACAAATGAAATTTTCAAATCGACCTACACATTCATCTAACATCAAAGAGGTTCAAGGATCCATTAAAAAATGTAAATATCAAAACTGAAATAATGACAACTCTGGAAGAAAATTGTGCAACGAATGAAATTTTCAAATCGACAGCTTCACTTAAGTCTACATTTGAAATTTCATCAGACTTTGTATGAAAAATATCAACATCTATCAAAAAAATTGTTTATTTATTTGGCTTCGTTAGTTTGTAGACTTGGCTTTAGAGTCGCAGCTATTTATTATTAGTGATTGGTAGTGTTTCCTGTTTTTTTTTTGCTTTTTAACAAATTCTGATCTAAAAATTCCTCTGTATAAAACACAACGTATTCTTTTATAGGGAAACGTTGAAAAATAACTAAATGGTCAAATATACACAAATGTATTTATATTAATTAATGTTCCAGGAGACATTTTTGAATGAGTCCAATAGAGATTGATTTTTCAATGAATTAAAGTTCTTTTTTGTATTTAGTTCAACTACGACCTCCATTAGGTCGCAGTATGAACTCTATTTCATTTTTGAAATTAGAAAAACTACAGAATTTCATGTTTTATTCAGGAAACCAACCAGTCACCTTTGTCAAAGATAAAGATAAATGACCACACCTATGTTGAAACTAAAAATTCTTTAAGCCGTTAATTTTTTTTTTCTTATGAATGTAATAATTTTTAAGAACCCTGATCAACGGACTGTAAAAATGATAACCAATCAGGTCAAGTTCACTCACATTGAGTTATTCGTTGGGCTCCATTGTATACTTATTACTCTATTGATTCACATAAAATTTTGTAAATAGTGTAGTATGGGTGATGTGTTACAGGTTAAGTTTGCTTAAAAACACAAAATAATACTGTGAATTCTATCCTGAATGATTTGCGATAAACATGTAATACTGTCTTTTGGTAGTGACACAATTACATTTATTATGTTTTCATTACTCAATAACAGTTTTGATTTATTCCCTTCTATATAAATGTGCATGTTTCTGGAGAAATGTTGGTAACTTTTTTCCCAATGCAAATTTCAAAATAGCACTATCCCTGATAAAAATTCGTGCTATATTAGTATATTCGAACATCTAATTTTACCCACCGAATTTGAAAAGGCAATTATGTAACTTCAACTGCAGTCCCTCCCTGTGAGAATAAGAATGAGTGACCTCATCAAACGTGTATCCAAGAATATTATTTTTTGAGCAATTTTTTTTATTAATATGTAATGGAAACAACAGCCAAAATATTCAAGGATATTGAAAGGTGTCACCCATGCTGATCCCCATATCAAGATCCCGATGAACCCATAAAGACTTACCAATTTTAATTGGATTGAGTCGCCTTGGTCGACCTCTTGGACGTTTGACCAATGGAGGTGCAACTACAAAAGTAATAAAGATTTGGGGTAGGCAGAATATAAATTGAAATATAAAAAATTAAGCTGGCTGTGTACCTAAGGATATTGCAAATAAAATAAGTAACATTCAGTGTTCAGACTACGAAGAAAACACTATATGTTTACTGGTTGAATGTGAAAAAAAGACATTTAAAATCTGAACCCAGAAATTCAAGAAGTAGATATTCGTTTTTGAATCATTGGTTTCAAATGAATTCAGATTGTTGGGAAAAATCAATTTTACTTAATTTAACATACCTTTGTGAATAATAACCATGGTTTGTTGAATGGTATAGTACATAAAATACTCTTATTCTTAATTTCATTGTAATTATAATAACCTATTTCTACACCCCTTTTATGAGAAATATTTTTTTTATTTATTTTGCCCAGATGAACGTGTTTGAAGTAATATGGCCTCCAGACTATGATGGGGGACTATTTATGTTTCGTGAACTGACAACGCTAATGTCAATAAATGTGGCCATACCATAATAAAGTTCGACATTTTTTTAGCATAAACGTACTTACAACATTTTGATGTACGAGTGCTATTTATTTTGTTTACAGTGAGTTAAGAAAATCAATTTGACCAAAAACTGGAAATTTCAAGAGAATGTTTTCATAGGATTATTTTTCACAACTTTCCACGTGGATTATCTCAACCACAGATATTTAATCTGTGTCTCAACAAGAATGTGTCGATGAACTCAGTTCTTTGTATGGCGATAAAGCACCATCAAAAACCACAGTATGTCGCTGGTATAGTGAATTCAATCGTGGTCATAGTTCGGTCGCCGACGAATTCCGTGAAGGTCGTCCAAAATCGGTTGTTGTGCCACAAAACATCGAGGCAGTGCTTGAACTGATAATGCAAGATCATGTGTGACATAGAGGCATCCCTGCACATTGGTTCCACTTTAATAAATTCGATTTTGCAGACATACTTAGTTGTGTTGCGTCAAGTGGTGTAAGAAAATTATTAAAAAGTTCGACGGTAGTGCTTCAAAAGATATGTATGAAATCGTGACAGGTGATGAATCATGGATGTATGCGTATGAGCCGAAAACAAAACAGCAATCGACCGTGTGGGTATTCCAAGACGAGCTAAATCCAACAAAAGTTGTTTGTGGAAGAAGCACAGGGAAACAAATTGTCGCCTGTTTCTTTGGCCGACGTGATTGTAATAGCTTTGAATAAACTCGTCCGATGTTTCTCCCATTTCTAATGCCTATGGCAAACACCTGTCTGATCAACTTCTCCCCTTTTTAGTGCCATGACGGGTATTGAATTATATAAAAAAATTCTTGTGCAATGTTTCTCAGAAAACAGGAATGTCACAAGGGCATCCTAGCTGAAACCAACTAGCAGAATTTTGTTTTCATACAGGCAGAGTGAACCACCTGCAGGCAAATCTGGCATTCATTTTTACAATATTCTTCAAGGAGAACACTTTTGCAGTGGTACTTGTAAAAAAGTATTAATTAATATTCTTTATTCGGTTGAGAATAACCCCCTGCTTACATGTATGTTTCAAGGTAGTTGCATTTCAAAAGGACCAGCTGGGTTGGACAGTATGCATTTTAACCTGTTCTGAGCTATGTTTGAAGTTGCAAGTCTCTTTAGCTCCTCGATAACTTATTTTCAAATCGATTGCAAAATTTGAACCAAACAGCAGTGTATGAAAAAGCAGTGTATGAAATGTCAAACGCTGACAAATCCACTCGTGATGAATTATGGATGCGCAGTATTCTTAAAAAAATAAAACTGTGAGACACAAACATCAAAGGGTCTTCAGCTTTCTACTGTGGTCATGTGGCCACTGTTACTGTTCGGCTTGAGCAATGTACAACGGTCAATTCTAAGTGGTACACGACCATTTGTTTGCTGGAAGTCTTCGGAGAAATTCGTAAAACTAACCGCCGAAGACGAATCATTCTCCATCATGACAATACGAGCTCTCACACATCTCGTCAAACAGGTGAATTATTGAGCAGTAAAAACATCGAATTGATGACTCATCCTCCATACAGTCCCAATTCAGTACCCAATGACTTCTTCATGTTCCCGAATATCAAAGGTAAACTGCGTGGTCAACGATTTACGATCACTGAAGAAGCAGTTGAAGCGTTCAAAAACCATGTTTTGGAGGTATCTCAAGAGGAATGGAAAAACTGCTCTGACAAATGGTTTGAACGAATGCAAAAGTGTATTGATCAACAAGGGGAATATTTTGAAAAACAATAAAGCCAGTTTAATTAAAAAAATTTTGTTATTATTTGCTATTCCCGAAAATATAAATAGTACCCCTGGTACACTACTAAACTCTACAATGGATTCAACTAGGGGCAATATAAAACAGAAATATCACTACATGATCTTGAAATAAAACCAAGCATTTATAGAACTTTCTGTTATTGAAAAAAGCTTGTTATCTAGAATTGTGCCCAAATTCTTACATTCATTATTATAATCACATTCATTTTCTGAGAAGTGCAATGTTATTCAAATCATATTCAAAATAAAATGGAGACTGTTATCTATTAACTTCACACCCATCAGCAATGCCATTAATGTCATTTTGGAGAAGATGTGCATCTTAAGAACATTTCACTACATTAAAATGTTTTAAAGTCATCAGTAAAAAGGGAAAAAAAATTAATTATGAACATATGAGTTTATATTTATATCATTCATGAATTAGCAGAACAGCAATGGTCTGCAACACGATCCACATGGTACTCCTGATTTCGCAGGTATAGATTTAAGTATTAAAATTGTAATTCTGAATTTTCTGCTTCAGATCACTCCTCGACAGATTTATCAAAAAGGTCTACTTATTGAAAAGATTTATTCTTCTATTTCAACCAAACAGATGGTTCCTTGCTTTGAAAACTGCTCAAGAATCATGCTGTGATTGGAATAGTAGGATTTATGTTGACAGACTAATAGATAGTGTTCTGTAACTTATACAACTACATACTGAACAAAAAAACAAACCATAAAACAAAGCAATATACTGAAAATCAAACAAACTTCAAATAATATGTTGAAAACAAACTTGAAATCTACAACTACGTTTTAGAGCACTTAATGAAATGAACATTACATGCAAGATGAGTTTTTTCTGTAAAAACGTGTAATAAGAGTCCACGTCGAATATATACACATGTATGCTAGATCATTTTTGAAATCAATATTTTGATGAAAAAACTAGATCTATGTAGATAGTCATAATGGAAGTTCGAACTAATGACATTCAGCTTGAATTATTGTAAACCACCTCCAAACAAATTTTACTAAAACTTTGACAACCAGTTGCTCGGAAACGAAGCAAGTTAGGACACGTGAATATGAACTTTTTTTCATAAAATGAGACAAATAATCACCACTTGGAAATGATGAAACCATCTAAGATACACCCTGTATAAAAGACACTGTATAGGATATTCACGTTAAGAAGAGAATTACGTAATTTTTGGTAATTTTGTATTTCCAACATAACAACTTTAAAATTCCCAATGAAATGCGTTTAATAGCGATGAAACTAGTAAAATTTCATTTTGTAAGTTGCTCAACTGATAGTAAAATTTCAGACGTTGCCAAATCGAAAACAAAAACTCAAAAACTGTCTGTCTTTTTTTTCTTTTCAGAATTAATCATTTCTTTTGATAAGACCTGCGTATATTCAATATGTTTAAACCATTGTCGAAACAGTCTCAACAAAGTTGTATTTCAACTAAGTCAATTACTAGTAAGTAAAGTTAATAGCAATAAAACAAATCAACAGTACAAAAAAATTTTAAAGTTCAAAATAGTACACATGTTGGCAACGCCGTAACTTGTCATCTTGTGACGTCATTCTCTTCTTAACAGGAATATCCTATAGAATAAATCCAAAGACAAGCACTTTTTCCTCAATCACTAGAAATGCAATACTCTTCCCGACGCGGTTCACCAACAAAGTTGGCGTCTCTACTTCTGAAGAAAAGAAAACTTTTCTTCATCTCCTGAATACGCCAACTTGGTTGGTGAAACGCGCGTCGGGAATTGAATTGCATTTCTGGTGATTGGGACAAGTGCTTGTTTTTGGAATGTAAAATAGTTTGATGTAGCAGTCCCACTGATGAAGCAATTGTGAAAATTGTAAAATTATTATTATGGCTAGTTTTATTAATTTTCAGAAAGTAACGGGCAAGTGTATTCATAAATGATTGTGACTCAAAATTCTGATGTAGCATTACTGGCTATTTTTTCTCGTATTCTTTCATGTGATTTTCAATTATTCTGTGGAGAATCATACAAAATCTTTCATCACAAGTTTTTAAGAATCAATACAGAATGTGTCCTTATCTAATTACTTGGATTCAAAATATACCTTCACTATCATTATTTCAATTGAACAATGGTGATAATATTGTGTATGAATTTGTTCAGTGAAAATAACTTTTCTGGAAATGTCATAACCATATATTTCCAATTAAAATCAATATTCAAAATGAAGCTGAAAGGGCAGAAGTACGTCACAAAAATAAATATAGAAAGACTTACCAATGGGATTGATCCTTGGCCTACCTCTTGGGCGTTTAACTAGTGGGACTGGGACTGAAAAAATAACCAATGAGTTGAGAGGAATTATTTACTCTGACTGATAAGACTTCAAGCAGAACCTTCAAACTCTTCAAGTCAGAGTTATAATATTCAAATAAATTAAATAATCCAGTATTTCACATGATTGAAATAATGAAATTAAAACAGTTAGTAGCAAGAGTAATTTTGGTTGTATGATAACTGGCGTCGCATAAAAGAGTAATTTAAGAATCTCCAAAAAATTATTCAGAGGGTTCAAGTCTGAAGGTCTAGGTGGCCATGTAGGCAAAACAGACTGAATAATTGACAACTAATTTGACAGATGTAGGTAGCTTCAACAAGATGACTGTTATCAATCGTCAAAATTCAGAAGTCCCTGTTAGAAGACCAGTTATAATTCAACTGCATTTTATTGCTGGCAATATTTCAGATCCTGTTCCATCAACGACTGCATTCATTGAATTATTATAGTCTCAACTGGTCGTAAAAAAATAATTACCTGGTGGATATTTTCTTGGTCTTCCTCGGCCTTTCTTCTGGGGAATATCTGATATGCCTAAACTTGTAGATGGGGCCATGTTATGATGTTGAGTGACGATTGTATCAGTTACTTCACGCTCAGTCATGACAGAGGTATGGGACTCGACTATGCTTGTTTCGGGTGTTAAAATATCAACACGATCAATTGTCTGCAGAAAAAAATTATAAAAATCAAAACGAATTGTATATTTTCGAGGTACAAAATGAAGTAGACTGGTTTTCAAGGTCACGAAACAATTTTATTTACTTGAAGTTTCCTTTGTAGCAATTTTCAAATTTTCAGTCAATGAACACTTCAAATAATAAATAAATGTATAGTGGACGATTGTGGTATCGAAAAGCTAATATACATCCTGATAAGAATGCCGGCAATGGTTCCACAGGAAAACCTGCCAGAATTATCAATCTCATATATAGGGAATTTTACTTATTTATCTTTTATATATTCATATTCTAAAATTCAAATAGCCAGACGGTTATTTTTGGTTTGAAGGAATTTTTTCACCACAATTATTGAAAATTCCGTAATTTTCAGAGATGAGTGTACCAAGAAAGCATGAACCAAGAAATTTATGAAATATACCAGTCTCAACCATTTCAAGCAGTGTTCCTTCATTCTCTGTTATCCAAGGTGTGTGAGCAACAACTGACTGTCTTGGTCTATGAAATCTGTGATCTTTAAAACAAGTTTATCAGCATGTTCAGTTTGACCCACATACTTTTCGTGGCAGTTCTCACAGATTCCTTAGAAAGACTCAAGACTTCTCAGTTTCTAGGAATTTTGAAAGTCAGTTTATTTTCAATATTTGAAAATTCGAAACAGCCATGTTAAATGACAATGAACTATGACTATAGGAGAGGACCTCATCATACCTTGTTTATATGATGCAGTGTCCCTTGTTATGGGTGAGCAATATATAGCTAAGATTAAACAAATTTCACTCTCAAATACTACTGTCCAAAGTCGCATTTGTGAAATGAGTGCCGATATTCTACCAACCGTTATTGCTGAAATAAAGGAAAGTCCTATGTTTGTGCTGCAGTTGGACGAGTCCACAGATGTTGCCTCGTGTTCCCAATTATTGGTGTTTACACGATACATTAAAGATGATGATGTAAAAGAGGAATATTTGTTCTGCAAGTCTTTGCCCACTACTACTCGTGGCGAATACGTATTTCAAACGCTAAAAGATTTTATTGAGGAAAATGGTCTGTTTTATTGAGGAAAATGGTCTGGACTGGTTAAAGCTGGTTGGTGTTTGTACAGATGGGGCGCCTTCAATGATGGGCATCCGTTCCGTATTTCAAGCACTCGTGAAACAAGTTGCTCCTCAAGTTTTCGGCTATCATTGCTTGATACACCGTTACGCTTTGGCTGTGAAGACGCTTCCATCAGATTTGCTACATATGTTAAGTAAAATAGTAAAAATTGTTAATCACATTCGAGGCAGCGCTACGAACTCAAGATTATTTAAAATTTTGTGCAATGAAATTGATGCTTCATTTAATGCTTTTTTTGTACCATACAGAGATACGATGGTTATCAAGAGGGAAGGTTCTAAGTAGGGTTCACAAACTACGAGAAGAAATTGGATTGTTTTTTGAAAATCAGAGAACACAAAAAGAAAAAGAATATTGTGCAAAAATTAAAGACCAAACATTTGTAGCAAAGATGGCGTACTTGCTGATTTTTTCAGTGAATTAAATGGTCTGAACAATCAACTACCCCGTGAGTTTAGATCTTATACAATAAAAAACTTTAAAAAAAGACTAAAGTCCTATTTAACTGTCTTTTGTCCGTTCCCGATCTTGGCATTACAAAAAGGAATTTTCTACAGCGGTTGCATACATTTCTGATCCCGTCATGACAGAATCACTGTTAACTCGACTTCTTTGTTATTGTTCAATTATTTCTATTTCTAGGTTGAGTTGAAAAACAGCCTTGGCTGATACCCCGCCTATTCACCTTTATACTGAAAGTTGTTTTCTTTTTCCTCTTTTTGTTTGTTTTAATTGTACTTTTATGGTGAATAAAGACGCATTATTATTATTATATGCATCATCAACAATGAAGACCATCTGACCTTTGCTTTCCTTAGGCTTAGTGGATTGGAGTCAGAAACTGAAAAATTCACTACAGCCTGCCAGGATATTTTCTTCAATAAGTTGGTCTATCGTAGTCGCTTGATGGGTATAGAGATTTCTGACACCAGATGCGGGTCCTGCTGTGAAGCTTGATACTCTTATGTACTTAATGTCGGCCTGTCTAGCATATGCGGTCTCAGCTCAAATCCATCCCTATGAGTGCTATATGGTCATCTTCGTCACTCCTACGGAAATGACGGGGGATATTGAATCTGTTGTAGGGGATGAATAGTGCTAAATTTATTGAAACCATTCAATCCTCATCCTCAAGGTGATACAAGCAAATAAGCCTGATGTAGTCCTCCTCGACAATCAAAATAAGATAATATTTGTCATGGATTTTCCAGCTCTGGGTGAGACGAATATCGTCCGAAAAGAGAAGTAAGAGATTTTTTGTTGGATCCCTCTCTATACACTATATTCAGACGGTTGTTCTTATTATTGGAGTCCTTGATGAAGTGATGCCCTTCCTATTCTCGAACCTCACACTCATACTAGCTTGTCACACCAAAGCAGATCATCTCCCGGTGTGGAAAATGATAATTTGTTATTGATGCCAGAATGATCACCATAGTATTAGAGCTTCACCATTGATGATACATATTGTACATATGGTAGGTCACAAATAAATGAAAATCATAGGTTTGTAGACTAACATAGAAAAAAAATATTTAATTTGATTTTATCGTTCAATATAGTTGCATTCGACGGCGATACAAGGATCATAGTTGTCATACAATTATTCAATACCATTGTTATAGTCCGATTTGTCTTCAGCCTCAAAACTGACCTCAATTTCGACGATTACCTCTTCATCAGCGCTAATTTTTTTCCAGCGAGCATTCTTTTGAGGTCAGAGAAAAGAAAAAAGTCGCTGGAGGTCAGGTCTGGAGAATATGGTGAATACGGAAGAAATTCGAAGTCCAATCCATGCCAACTGTTTCGTCTTTGCAAGCTTTGGAGTCGCTTCACCAAATGCAGTCCACTCAGATGACGATCATTTTGATTCTGGTGTGACATGATGGAGCCATGTTTCATTCATTGCGACATATCAACGAGTAAATTCGGTTTTTTATGTTGGAGCAGCTTCAACTGTTGCTCAGAATCCTTGTTTTTGATCGATTGTGAGCTCGTGCGTCCATTTTGAACAGAGCTTTCGCATAGTAAAATATTCTTGCACGATATGTCCAACAAGTTCTTTTGGTATCTTCGGAGCCTCAACAATCTCAACTTCACTAGTAGCTAGTAGTAGTAGCTAGTATTGCCTTTGGTGTGTTAGCCTACGAACTTTTCAGCACATCTAGTACATAACTTATGATATGCATACTGCGACTTACAAAAATGTCAAATATTTCAAAAATATAATGAAAATATTTGTCTGCATTACAAGCAAGCTAAAAGCCTATAACAAATAAGTTCTAGTAAGGTATACTCCATTTTGAAAAACTCTTTCAAGGAATGAAATAGTTTATCAATCAGAAACAATAACTTTTTTCGAGATCAATTGCCCTAACACCAAACTGATATTTTTGCACTCAACGCGCGTTTCGCCAACAAAGTTAGCATCCTCAGGAGAAGAAAATTGATACCTAGTCTAGTCTGGTTAATCCTTATTCAAGACTTCTCAGTTTCTAGGAATTTTGAAAGTCAGTTTATTTTCAATATTTGAAAATTCGAAACAGCCATGTTAAATGACAATGAACTATGACTTGTCGCCTTTTTCAAAAGTCAAATTCGGATATGTCCCTGCCAACCTTTCAATATACTTTTTTTTTTACATTTTTTGTTGTGTACAATGTAGGGAGTTATCAAGAAGTTATCTCTGAAATTACCGGCATTTTTCCTATTCACATTTAGAATTATAAAATTATGCGAACATTTTATGTGAAAATCATAATCATCTTACTCCTATGACTACATAATGCAGATATATTTCTCTTTTCCGCTTCGTGATTCTACCTCTGCCCAGTCATATATTAATAACGATCTTTAAGCCATCTCTGACATTTCTCAAGCCAAATCCTAATACATCTGCAATAATGATGTTTGGACCCAAGAAGAACAGAGAGCTCGTCAACACCAATTTTCAAGTCCGCATTGAAAATGAAATACTTCCCTTCGTGACGGAGATGAAAAGCTTAGGATTGTGGTTTGATCTAGAACTTCGCTTCACTAAACATGTCAGAACCAAACTTCTTATAACGTCCTCAGGCAGGTTTCCAAATCGTAATTTGCTCAGCAGAAACTTGAAAATGAGACTATGCGAGTCACTGATCATGTCAAAAATTTCTTATTGCCACAGTGTTTATGCACCTGCTTCAAGACAATCGGATGCTCTTCGTCTACAACAGTGTTTCCTAACCTGGGGGTAATTACCCCCGCAGGGGTAAAACGGCAATTCTAGGGGGTAACAGAGTTGGCACAAAAAATTATTAAAATATTAAACAAAATAATAGTTCGGTAGCACGGCGCTCTCATGCGCGCACTTATAAAGAAGCATTTCTACAATGGGGTTTCACAAGTTAAAAGATTTTATTGAGGAAAATGGTCTGTTTTATTGAGGAAAATGGTCTGGACTGGTTAAAGCTGGTTGGTGTTTGTACAGATGGGGCGCCTTCTATGATGGGCATCCGTTCCGGATTTCAAGCACTCGTGAAACAAGTTGCTCCTCAAGTTTTCGGCTATCATTGCTTGATACACCATTATGCTTTGGCTGTGAAGACGCTTTCATCAGATTTGCCACATATGTTAAGTAAAATAGTAAAAATTGTTAATCACATTCGAGGCAGCGCTACGAACTCAAGATTATTTAAAACTTTGTGTGATGAAGTGCGAAGCTACATTTAATGCTTTTTTTGTACCATACAGAGGTATGTTGGTTATCAAGAGGGAAGGTTCTAAGTAGGGTTCACGAACTACGAGAAGAAATTGGATTGTTTTTTGAAAATCACAAAAAGAAAAAGAATATTGTGCAAAAATTAAAGGCCAAACATTTGTAACAAATATGGCGTACCTTGCTGATTTTTTCAGTGAAATTAATGGTCTGAATATTTCACTGCAAGGAAATAAAACAAACATTTTGACGTTGCAGGATAAAATCGCAAGTTTTTTGCGTAAACTGGAACTTTACCAATGTAGAGTCCAAGCTGACGATGTGTCAGTGTTTACACAACTAAGTCAGCAATTAGTAAATACTAAACAAGACAAAATCACGTTTGAAAATTCCGTGGTTCAACATTTAACTGCTGTGATAGACTCACTGAATCAATATTTTCCGAACATGGATAGTCGTGAGTCCTATTCCTGAATTTTAAGACCATTTTCTACTTGTGTCAATATTTTCTACGACGAAGATGTGTCAGCAAAAGTAGAGTTTCTTGGACTACAGAAGGATAACTCATTGAAAGTTGATTTTCAAAATAATGAACTCGGAACATTTTAGCGAAAAGCAGCTGCAGAATATCCTATTATAGCTGACAGAGCTTTAAAAATGTTGATTCCATTTGCTACAACTTATAGATGTGAAACTGGTTTCTCGACTCTTGTTACATTAAAAGATATACAACCTCAGGTAGCAAATTTTAGTATATAAGGATTAACCAGACTAGACTAGGTATCAATTCTCTTCTCCTGAGGATGCTAACTTTGTTGGCGAAACGCGCGTTGAGTGCAAAAATATCAGTTTGGTGTTAGGGCAATTGATTTCGAAAAAAGTTATTCAACTTTCACACCAAAGGTTCCAATCTCATCGTTAATCAGAAACAACTTGAGGCTTCTGTAGAGTAGGTCCTGTATCTTACTTTCATTTTGTGACAAAAATCTCACATACATCGTCTACGTGTAGCAAGGTTAAGAAGGTATATTAGATAAAATATTCCCGTTATTACTCACATATAAAGAATCTGGACCCAAGGCATCATTCAAAGCTCCTAGTTCGTGAGCTTTATGTACGTGATGTTTGAGTTTGTCGTGCCTTGAAAATGCCTTATCACACTGCTCACAAGAAAAAGGCCTTTCTCCTGTGTGTACCAGTTGATGTCTGCTGAGGTGAGATGCTCGCTTGAAACTGTAAATTACAATATATGATATGATGATTCATAATCATTTGTACACTAGAAAATCATGAAAACAATAATATTTGATATTTATATAGAAATGGCTCCGATTTAGATTCATAATTTTTAGGTTATTATTCTGATTACAATGACTTTGTAAAAATTGTATTCAATTTTTTATTTAAAAATAAAGTGGATTTATGCAGCATCAACGTTCATATTCACTATCATTTCTATTTTGACTAGGAAAAATTAACTACTGGTTTTCAGTAGATAATCTTATGCACCAAAACCATAAAACATGTAGGTTTTCTATGACAAATACTTCAATGTTCATTTTCACTTTGAATAGTCACCTATTCCTAGGAAAAGTGTAAATTGCTTTTGAGCATGTTGCCACTGTTAATTCTGTCAGAATTCTGAAAAGTACATATGTATTATGTATGATTTGTTCATGATTTGAAATAATTGTAATGTACAAGGCGTTTACAACCCGTCAAATTTAACTAGAAGTCATAGGTACCACTGAACAAAGTAAGGTCAACTTTGTTGTTCCTGATTTTATGTGATGGAATAATTCATTTTGATATCTGCAATAATTTTGAAGAATGACACCTTCAATCGTGCCAGGTATCGCACATTAAAAGGTAAGACCTCGTTTATCATCAGCTCGCACAAGTTTCTACTTTTGAGTCTGTTTAAAAACAGAGATTTTAAACAGACAGATTTTTTTATTGGCGAAATTAGAAAAAGTTCTTTGAAGTTTTCTGAGTATTCAACCGCCCACAATTTTAAAAATAAGTAAACATAGCTCAACAGAGAATCTGTTCTCAAATATAATAAAAGGCGAAATGACAATTTTACCTCTAGAAGTTACTGAAAAAAAATTTCAATACACCAAACCGTTATTTTAACACCTCTTCAAGAGAAAGATCAGTTCGATCATCCTCTTGAAGATGACCATTTGGTGATCGAAACATATATCGAGGTGTTGAAATAACGGTTTGTTGTTGGGAAAAAAACTCCAGTAATATTCATGGTCCAGTATACATAATGCATACAAATAAATGAATAAATCTAATACATTACACAAGTACATTTAGGGGCTCGAATTAAAATACAAAAACAGATAAAAAAATAAATATAAAATGCAATATCGAGCAAATCGTAATAAATAGTGACATATTCCTCAATTGAATAAAAACAGTTATCTCGTAAAAAGTGTTTGACTTTAACTTTGAATGGCCCCCAATGGGCCTAAGATGATTTGGTAGAGTAATATACTGTGATTGCTTTATATTCAGCTCACCTTTCAAATATGTGGGTTTATGTGGGTTTATTCTCAGATTGTTTGAAGAGTGCATTGTCCTATTACTGTGGTATCACTATATTTATTGTAAATAGCTTAGGATTGATTTTCATAAAATTATGTAACCTAAATATATATTAAAGAAGGAAGTGGGATTCTTCTAAAATATCAATCCATAAGATAGGGTTGACTATATTTGGATTCAACCGAATCATTCAATTTTCGTAATGAATAGCACATTCTATTAGATTTTCTAATTGTAACAGTGATATAACGTTCAAAGATTAATTTTCATCAGTGTCTACCCCCCAAGTACTTAGTACCTGAGCATACAGAAACAGATTTTGAAGCAAGGTTAAGTACACATTAGTGTGATGCTTCGTGTGATTATAGTATTGCAGAACTTTCGTTGTACTAGTAATCGAGCACAGACCGTTTTTATCGCACTAATTCAGCATTTCATTGGACACTTTTGTTGCCTCATCTGAAAGATTCCTAAAATGTTGTGCTGATACTACACATGATGTGTCATCTGCAAATTGAAAAAAAAAACAGCTGCTTTGTCAGATTTTTACAATACTATATAAACAACTGGTCCAAAAATAAATCCTTGAGGTACACCCACGTTGATATTTCTGACAGACGAGTAGAACTCCTTGATATGACTATCTATTTCAAATTTTAGAAAAACCTAAAGAGTTTTCAGTTGAAAAGGATTTGAACAGCCCCAATGCTACATTTTAATGCCGTAACATTGAAGTTTATTCAGGAGGATATGATCAAGAGAACCAAAGGCCAGTCAATAATTCACCTCCATCATTTAGGTCTACCACAAACTTTAAGACTTGGTCAATTATATTTTCTATTGATTTGCCGGGTAGAAATCCATACTGACATGAATGAAGAATGTTATGTTCTTGTAGGTTAGGTAAGGTTAGGTTCAAAGTGAGTGGGTCTATTCGACCCTCCACCGCAACCCGCAGGGGTTTATTGTGACTCATACTAATTTTACTCGACCAAATAAACCCAGCTTATTAATGAAGCCGATTAACTTGTATGGCGAGTCATCTTTCAGGTCAGATGGTTCGGCTCTGCCGAACTCTAAAGCCTGACTCGGTCCCCAGCGGGGCAGGCTCCTATCAAGAAGAGTTGTTTTTGGCAGTTTGCTACCAATTTAGATTTGCTCAGTAGGAGCCAAGAGCTTCCAACGCCGCTTGACTGTCCGAGAAAATTTTTATTGACTTGTGAATGAGGTTGGATTTATCCAATCTCTCCGCAGCACACAATTCAATAGCGTAAATTTCCGCTTGAAATACAGCCGCATAAGTTCCTAGGCAGATAAATAACTCTACCCTGGGTCTGCGACTGAAAACACCTGCACCAGAACCGGAAGGTGTTTTTGATCCATCTGTGAACCAACAACTATCCACTCTTAATATTTCCTTTTCCCGGAAGATCCAGTTCTCTAAACTCGGGAATAATACTTTATAAGGCAGTTCGTGGTTGACAGAGGCATAAAGTCAGAGGTAATTTCCAGAATGCTGTGACTTCCAATGTCAACCAACAGTCTGTTGCACTCTGCATTGAATTGATTTGTGCAATTGGCAATGTACACAAGCCTATATGCAGTCCATCTAGCCTCTCTCTCCAGAAAAATATGGAGAGGAGATAGATCTAGAAGGATCTGCATGGCCGCTGACGGTGTGATACTGATGGCACCACTGATAGCCAGACAAGCCTGTCTCTGTAAACCAGAGAGCTTCGCTTGGGCCGTTTTCTGTAAAGCCTTCGGCCACCAAGCAATTGCTCATAAATGATCATTGGTTTGACAATCATCACATAAATCAAATGGATTTGTTTGGAACCTGAACCCCAAGTTTTACCACAAATCTTTCGACATGTCCATAGAGACAGTCTGGCTTTGTGTAAAACTTTTTCCGAGTGAGCGTTCCAGGTGAGTCTTTTATCAAGGACAATGCCAAGATATTTCACCTCCGTTCCAAATGAAATGACCACAACATTGAGGGAAAGTGGCGTTAGATGGTTCAATTTTCTCCTCTTGGTGAAGGGCATTAACACAGTTTTGCTGGGGTTGACAGATATCTGCTCCCTCAGGCACCAACTGTAAACAAAGTCCAACACGCTTCAGAGGATATTACAAGCTACCCTTCCCGACGTGGACCTTGCCAGAATGACAAGGTCATCTGCATAAGCTTGCATATCGACTTTTCTTCGGTCGAGGACATCAAGCAGACTATCCACCAGGAGCGGCCACAGAAGGGGAGATAGTACCCCACCTTGAGGGCAGCCTCTGGTGACCCTGAACCTGATAGCCTCGCCTTGAAGAGTCCTAGTTACAGTTCTGTTTACTAGCATGGCATAGATCTAGCCAGTTATGGTCGATTCTGTACCCTTCCTAGCCAGAGACAATCCTATAGATTTAGGTAGTGCATTGTCAAATGCTCCTTCAATATCAAGAAATACAGCAACCGCAATTTCCTTGTTGTCAAGGGATTGGGAGATTTTCTCAACGAGGTTGTTAAGTGCTGAATCTGTCGATTTGCCGGTTTGATAAGCATACTGGTGGTTATCCAGAGGGATGCATATAATGCTACCCTCCTTATATGTCCGTCTAGTATCCTCTCAAGTCCTTTCAGCAGGAAAGATGTAAGGCTGATTGGTCGTACCGATTTAGGGTGTGGGTCTTTTCGACCCACTTCAGGTATATATATCACCCTTGCTGTCAACCAACTGAGTGGTGTGTTGTTGTGATATATACTGATCGATAATGAATTTTGCGTTCTATACATTGATGTACGGAAAATTGCTAAAGCAATTTTTAGTACAGATCAGAAGTGGTCCATTCCTGCTCCACTACAACACTCCACCAGCCACTAACCACCATACAGTAACCACGGTCTTCTTTTGGTGGGTTTTGGCCTTTGGGAAGTACCTGGGTGGCTTATCGGTGTCCAACCAATGTCCTGAATGTCTCATGCTGTCGTAGAGGATCCGCTTTTCACTACACGTGACGATCCGATCCAAAAAAAGGATCTTTTTGTGTGCGCAAAAGCAAAGAAGAAGAGATCTCGAAACTTGACATTCTTTGTCGATTGTTCAAATCTTGGCGCGTCTACTTTTCGAGCTTGTTGACCATTCCAATATGTTTTAAACCATCAAAAACTGTATGGGAGCTGACGCACAGTTCTTCCGCCACCCCACACACCGTTTGTGATGGGTCATTCTCCATTGTGGTCCTCAAATCCTCTTCCTGGATTACTTACTGTAGGTCGACCACTTCACGGCTTATCTTCGAGACTGAAATCGCTCAACAACATCATATATTAATAATGTATAGAGTACAAAATTGTATCTATCGATCAGTATATACCACGACACAATAGAATAAATATTCATCTACTTAAATATGACTTTAAAACGAACAAAACTTTTGAAACAGTTGGTTCAAAACAGAATAATAAGAGGTTTAATAAAATTTCTAGACCGTCAATTTTTTCTATCCTAAATGAACACAAAATATAAAAATTAATTGTTTTACACCGTTACCTGCTTGGACATAAATCGCATTTGAATTTTCTCTCTTTTCTTGCCCAGCTACTCAGACTGCTTGTGTCATCCAGGTTGTGTCCAACAAACTTGTCACCTTCGTTGATGCTGTCGATATCGATGGTTTCTGAAGGTGCATCATCGATGGTGTGTCCGTCATTATCTGTATCATTCTCTAAAAAATGAATGAATGAATTACATATTGCTATGAATACACCTTTCTTAGATCTTATAAGCCAGTCAGTCTACTGTACTGAGTAATTATTTTTAGAGCTCATTCAAATTTTCAATTTTTGCCAAAAGAAAATGAAGAATTTCGCTTACACTCAACCCTTCTGGAGGTCGATTTACATGACTCATGTCAAAAAATACAGTTTCCACACTTCTTTATAAACTTCACCCGTAGGCTTTTTTCAATCAAAAAGTGATTCCTGGAGGAGTCCACTTAGCCTAGTGATAGCAAATTATTTCATGGAACGGTTTGAAAGGAAGGCGATAGACACTTTTAAATTGAAGCCGACCTTGTGGCTATACGTTACGTGGATGACACCTTCGTCATCTGGAAACATGGAAGAGAGCCCTGAACCGTTTCCTAAACCACTTGAACGCCCAACACCCGAGCATAGAATTCATCATGGAGATTGAGCAAGACCAACGGATAACTTTCCTAGATGTACTAGTAGAACGATATGGTACCAGACTAACCCACAAAGTGTATCGAACACCCACACACACAGATAGATACTTGCACGCACTATCGAACCACCATCCTAGCCAAAAGAGAGGAGTCATCTCCACTCCAACGGAACGGGCTTGGAGAATATGTGAACCAGGGGAATTGTCTACAAATGGTTTGAATCATATCTTAGTGACAGGAAACAAATTGTGAAAATTTCCGGAAAGTGTTCTCCCACGAGGAAGATACAACAAAGCCTCAGGTCGGCTAAAGACAAAAGACACTCATTATCAGCAGCAGGGGTCTATCGCATACCGTACACTTGTGGAAAAGTATATATCGGAACCACCCAACGATCCATGGGAACAGACTAAAAGAGCATAAAAGGAACTGCAGACTAGGCCAAACGGACAAGTCAACTGTGGCAGAATACGCACTTAGTGAATTAGACCACAGAATTTTGTTTGAAAACACACAACTAATTGCCCCCAACCAGGGATACCATAGCCGATCGGTACGGGAGGCAATAGAGATCCACAAACACACGGAGAATTTTAACAGAAAAGAAGAAGCGGTGAACCTCTCAAATATGGAACCCCATTTTGAGGAATTCGAGAATAACAAACAGGACAACAGGCAGCAAGATTGTTAATGTTCCAGGTTCAATGCAGGTACAAATAGAACTGATTACCTGACAAGGCATAAATACGCTTTACGGAGCCTAAAAGATAGTCATCGGACAGCAAGCCATGATGGTTAAACCTCTGGAAAAGCTAGCCACTCACGCCAGCGAAACGTCAGGAAGAATTTCCAAACATCCACGGCTTTCAAACTCGAAAAGCAATGACACTATTAATACTTTGTTAAGTACCTAATTTTTTTCTTGGAACATGCATATGACAATTATTTATAGATGTCAGACTCCAACATTTTTTCTATCAACGATTTCATTAGTAGGATTATTTATACAGAGTAAATTATAATAACCTAATAAAATGAAAACATTACTATAGCGAAGGTAATCGTCCAGATGCGAAGCTATTGAAACTAAGCCAGATGGTAAAACAAAAACAAAGTCCTGTTAGTTGTTTTCATATATTGTAGTGTTTCCATGAGTGAAAGTAATTTATTTTACCTATTCTTCAGTTTCTCATGTCAATAATAGAGGTGCTAAAAACATTACTCTCACAAATTCTCAATTGAATAACTCAAAACACAGAGACCCCCAAAACAATAAAATAACCTATGTTCAACATTCAGTTCTTCCGATAAACTGTTAGCTGTTTGAGTAGCACCATCATCGGTAGATATTCTTCCTACACTACATACCATAATCTTTTTTGTGGACCACAGAAGATGATTTATCAGAGCTGGAACTGTTTCGCCTCTCCGCATCTTTGAAACATTTTGAAGAAGTCTGCTCCTCTGAGAGGAAATCAACTGCCACCCTTTTCTGCCCTTTGAATCTTGTGTCTCTTCCGAATCCATTGTGGTTCTGAAAAATTTGCCATTTCAATAATATAATTAACCCTCAGTGCTAAAAGTGAGACATGTTCTCACAAACTTCAGACATTCATATACAATCCTACAACACTTTCCTATGTGTCCTTATTTTTTTAGTGTACTGCATACTAAAAAAGGTCAAAAAACAAAATCTAACCTGTACCCTAACCTATCCGAAGCTAAATTCAACTTGTGCAATTCAAATAACATTAAAAATTAATTAAGGTGCAGTAAATGTTTTCACAACTTGTTCAATTAGATTGGCAAGACTGCTATTTGATATATAATATTGAGAAGAAGTAGATCATACATCTATTTCAACTTCAAAATTCTACAAAGGGGACAATATTTTTTAAATGAGTTAGACCCGTAGTTGATACTTCTGAATTTTTGAAAAGACATATCTATTGATTATTACTGGAGTTTTTTCCCAACACCAAAGGTTCCAAACAGTGCATCATAAGTATATCTTTTGATATTGAACAAAATCGTAAAAACGGTATATTTCCCTAGTAACTGAAGGAAAAATAAATTGTTATTTAATTCATTTTTACACTCCCAGAAATATATATACTTGAAAAACCTAAATAAGCAAAATTTGCGAATTATTCTCGAAATAAGAAACTAAAAATTTTGGTGCAGGAATTTCATAGCGAAAAATTTCTCAAATACCGGACATGTTTTTTAACAAAAATTAACACTAGGTACGTAGAAGTTATATAGAATTTTCAATAGGTCAGGTTAGTTTTTCGCGATAATTATTTTACGCAGAATGTTTTTTAGTCTAGTCAATAAGCACCTTTCAGGTCAAAAATACGCCCTAAAACGCATACTCTGGCTTGCGCCGTACACGCATACTCTGGACATTTAATGAAAAAATATTATTTCAACTTATTGAATACCAAAATCAGGAATTGAAAAATGAATGAACAATAATCCGCGATCAAAACATTTTTATCGTGATTTTCCAGTTAATTTTGCATTAGTTAATTAACCATTTTTTTCTACTTAAACAGGAACATTGCAAGTGCGATAATTGTTTTGTAATGTTTAAAATTGAAGGAAATTTAGTGTTTTGCTTTTTTTCCAAATTTCAAAAAATATTTCCAATACTTGAGTAAGTCAACTGAAAACATAAAAATGCCATATTTGCATTATTTCTTATTTTGTAATGTACTGCTGAAATTGTGGAAGGAACGAAAAGAAATTTGAATTTTGTTCTAAATGTATCGAACACTACGTCTTGATTTTTAACATAAATTTCAGTTTATCAATATTCATACTTCAAAACTATAGAGTATAGAGCTTCTAAATATATTTCGTACGTAATTGCGAAAAATCAGGATAAGCACATCATCACAATTATTAAAGAATATTACCGGAGTTTTTTCCAACACCAAATCGTTAATTTTTACACCTCGACACGTGTTTCGATCACCAAGTGATCATCTTCAAGAGGAAGATAAAACTAATAACTACTCAAAACTAAAGCTACTTATACTAATCAGGTACATCATACAGGTAGGTAATCAGTAATACCACCCATACAAGTGTACCACCCTAAATTAATTTTACAATTGGCCCTTTCTATTATTTACAATATGTCCTTATGTATGTTTAAATGTTACAGCTATATATAGAACAATTTTCAGTTATATAAAATTTGTTTCACAATATTGCCTATCTAAATATATTTACAATGTGTCTTTTTGTAGTAATCAGTAAACCCAACAATATTATTTCAACAAGCTATATAGTATGCTATTTGGTATCTAGTTGTAGTCTTGATAATGCAATCTGAGAAGACGACCTTTCAAGAACACAGAACAGATGAACACACGGAAAAACAACTTCACACACATTTTTTGACATATGATTGATAAACAGGACTTTTACAGGATGTATGTATTGAATTTTAATATATTTTCAGTTGAAATCGAGTTTGAACTACTTTCTGGTAATGTTCCGTCATAGTATTAACATTATTTGGAACCAAGTAAAATATTACCGGTCGGTATTACCATATATAATCAATCAGTGCCTTCGAAATGAGTCCAAAAAGTAATGGAAACGAAACGACGTGCCAACTTCTTCTAACAACCTCTAATATTTCAATAAAGAATAATTTCTTTCCTTTTCAATAGTTTGCTGAGAAGTAACTCTGTGTTACGATTCAGGATCATCCGAAACCTTGTCATTCAAACTAATAACACTAACAGATTTCTAATAATTACAGATTACTGATTATACCAATCATAGATTTCAGTTTCTGTAATAAGACTCTTTCACATTAGAGAAAAACATATCGCTTCAACTTTGATTGAGCTCTCACTTAATAATTTCGGATGTCCTCACTTCAACCTAGTTACAAATTTATGAAAATATACAAATATGTGCACATTTCGGTTCATTTACAATTTCGTGTCAGTCCGGACCTGTTCCAAGAAAATAATGGAAAATGTAAGATCTACTATTGGATCTAGTCTAAAAATATTGTGAACATTAAATACAATGATGAATGTAATCCCAGAGCCACAAGTCCCCTTAAACAATTCCATTGAAAATTATAATAGAAACCACGCCTAATATGTTTACGTTGAAGGAATAGATTTTTGTGTATAACACCATCCAAGTGTACTCTTCTAAGATACTTGAAAAACTTCATTGTGTTATTCGTCGATGACCTGACCTGAGCATTCATTATTATTTATCCACGTCTGTGGTCTTTGTTTACATGAGGGAGACAGCATATCGTGTTATTAGTTCAGCGTTGTCAGATGCGAAGAAATTTCTTTAGATTTAAGAAATAACGATTTTGTATTAATGAACATAAAGAAAAGGGTCTTAATTGTAGAATAAAAGTATGAAAATGCGATTGGGAAAGAAAGATTTTGGCTTTCTACTTCTCCATGCATGTATGAAACTACTCTCCCCTAAAAATATACCCCTTCCGATTCAAACAAGATTTTTGCGGCAGATTTACCTTCAGGATCATGATTCTCTGTTCTCTCTTAATATCTGAGAAAAATAGATTTCGGTGACAGTATGAGCACAGATTAAATATTTAATCTGTGGTATGAGTAATAATCTGCGGTGAATTTTGAAGGCCCCCTTTGATCGTTTCAAATGATCTCAACGCACGTAATTTCAAAATAGATTATAAATGAGTCATAGACAGTTAATTCTGTGTTACGTTTTTCGTAAAAACAGATGGATTTGCAAACTTCTCGCCACATCGTTTTGTGTTTGTTTATACAAGTAACAGTTGAGCTTATCATGTTAGCTTGACACGGGATGCAAGACTCATGTTTTGCAAATAAAAAATATGGAGGTGCTGCAATTATAATTTTGTCATTATGTGAGATTATTGGCGTTAATTGTTGAAAAAATATTTCTCCGCGGCATAGTCATACACTGACTTTGATGCTTCAAAATTTATTTCTTAACCTTCCTATAAAAATAATAAGTATGCTTCATTGTCTAAAGAACCACATGTCTTATTGACAAAGCTGCAAATTTACTTCACCCATACATACACACATAGGTAAGTATACATATACAATACAAATCACATAAACATAGCCTAAATTTATAATAGAGATATAGCTATCTGCACAAATATACAAAAATCTAACGTATTGGTGCAATGTGATCTAGTTCTGAACAGAACAGAGTAACCTTTTTTAATTTAGTGAAATCTAAAGATTTTTGAACAAGTCGTCCAGCTAGAGAATTCTGCAACTATAATCTGGCAACATTGTTACAGTTAGACAGTGGAATGTGTGAGAGAGAAAGAGTTTATTGCTCGCGTCTTGGCAACATGGCTGCGCTAGAGCGTTTTATTAGCTGAACATTGCTAAAATAATTAATAATTATTTAAATACTCACGATATTTGTGCCATCCTCTACAAGTACTCCTGTTACTTGCAAATCCTCGGCCAAATCGAATATCGAATTGAAGCTATCGCAGGAAACGTCAATGCTACCTTTGTAAATCAATTCGACCAGGTTCTTGAGCTGAATAAGCGTGATACCGTACATAAAAATAGCATTGTCGTCCTTGTGGTCCACAAAAACGTTTTTGAAATACCGGCTACTCGCTGCCAAAATCACTTTGTGAGCCTTAATCGATCCATCTTTACAATACAGAGTACAGTCTGTTAGCACTTCGTCTTTATACAATGTCTGAAACACCGTTCCGATATTCTCCAAGTGTTTATCAGCGAAGAGGCGGACCGTTTTATGCAACTTCATTTTCACTGTACACTCAGATAAGTTTAATGCAGAACCGAAGGTTACGTAGATACATACGCTAACGTTTAAATTTAACCACGACTTATTTGTTTATAATTCGCGTTATGAAATGTTTTTTTGTTTACTCTACGACGTTATTAGGAGTGTGCTCGAACGCGCCTCACTACTCACTGCGCCCTTTGGGTTACAACTAAGGGGGGCTCGGCACGGTATTGATTTATTTCGTGCTGCCCCCTCTTACTAAATCGCAAAATACCCTCTGGAATTAATTATAACTTCAAGCGGGCTCGAGGACGCCCCGGTTATTTCGCATTTCTCTTTGTTCGACTCTACAGAATATTTTTAATATTTTTATTATTTTAATTAATGGTGAAAAACACATGTATGGTTCGATTATCTCAAATTATTTTTATTTATTGTTTTTTTATAGTATATTTGGAGGTATACTCACAGTTACTCAGGAATATTAAGAGGTTAATAAAATATATACCAGGAGATTTGAAAGAAATATTGTACTTTATTCCAGGATAGTTTGGAAACGGCGTTTTAGTAGGTACATAAAATTTGAGAGTTCCTCATACGATTTAGACCAGAAAATGGCATTGCATGCTCTAAATTTAAAGAGCCTCATGCGCATTCATAAGTCATTATACCCAATAGTAGATACTTTTTTCAGTTTGGCCTCAATAATTATCAATATTTAAATACTCATTTTTGTTATCAATCATACTCTTCTGATTTTTTTAGTAGAAGCTTTACCTATACATTCGAGAGATAAAATCACAACCAGGGACGGATCCAGAGCTAAATGGCCTCTTGCTTTTTGTGATGGATGATTTTTGATTGCATGACTGCACATGGAAATTTCATGTTTCAAATGCAAATTTTTCCATAATTCCGTCAATATACTGAAAGAACTCAACTTACAATAATACAGGGCGGAACAAAAGAAACATATTTGTCTGTAAAATAGCATTATTAAGTCAAGGCCCTACTCAAATACCTTTTATAAAATCATTCCAATATTATTCACTATTTTAGCTTTGTTATTGTTAACTTAGCATCAAAAACTCACTACAGGACACCCAAAAGAATAAAGCAAATTGATTCCTATAAATTCATCAGTAACAAATTTGAAAAAATCATTTATGGTTGTTCGATATTATTTGTTATTAGCATAATAATAATCTAACTGGAGGAAGACAATGAACATATCACTATTCCATTTGCAAGTGGTATTATTGAATTTGAATAATAAAATTGGGCTGCATAATGAGGATCTTAGCTGCAGACACTGCGAAAAAGGACAGTGACTGAGGAGAGGCACTGAATCACAAGAGGTAAGTAAGCAACTTATACAAGGATCTATACAAATTAGTACAGGGAACAAGATTCTCGAAATAGGTGTCACGATGAGAGGAATAACGCAATGAGTGCAAAAGCACGCAATAATTTAACAGTATCCATGATAATAATTACATAATTTTCAGAAACATTTTTATTTCTAGACGCGTTTCGCTAACTTCCTCGTTAGAAATGAATATTATAAACTGGGCTACAATTCTACAGTAGGTACCTAAATTAATTGATAGTAGTGAAAGCTAACAGGTAGAATTGATAAACTAATTACATTGTCAGTTCTTGAACAACAGGTAAATTTTTGAAAATGACTAAAATTAATGTTATTATGAAAAAATGTTTAACAGTGGTGAGTTTCCGACCGCCCTCCTGTTGGTCGTTCAGGAGGGAACCCGAAAGTATACCTTCATTTATTTCCAGAGACTCCAGCAGCTTCCACTTCTGTCTCTAGGCTTCTACATGGAGTATAACGTATATAGTGTTGAAATCGTGATCGTTTTCAAAATTCCTTTTATGTTCGGAGATTCTCGTTTAAAAATTTCTTGAATTCCTTCCTGCATACACTTTTGGCCATTATCCACATGTTAGTTTGTAGACAACTGATCTGATATCCTTGTCTATCTGTGACATGTTGGTTTTTAAATATCTACCTAAGGAGTTACCAGTCTTATATGCTATGATGATATTTTGTTTGTTCAATAGTTTTTTTATTTTATCTGATGTTTTTCCGGTTTATGTGAGTGTCTTGAAGGTGCCAGGGTTATATTTTATATGAGGTATACTTGGTTAATAGCTTGTTTTTTTATGAAGGATATGGTAAATTACATGTTGAAGTCGTTATTCACTACAATTTATTTTATCAGATTTAGTTCCTTATTAAAATTCTCTGTGGATATTGATAGATAGATAGATAGATTTTTATTGATCCTTTTTGCTACATNTTATTCTGAGAGATATTAGTTTTTCCAAAATTTTTGGGAGTACGCTGATAATTGATATGGGACGATAATTTTCGATACTCTTTTTGTCACCATTTTTCAATACGGGTACTAGAATGGCAATTTTGAGAAGATCAGGATATTCTCCAAAACCAACACATAAATTCATAATATGCGCTATTTGGTCTGACAATATATCTACACATTCTTTAATAATTTCTGTAGAGACCTCATCATGCCCTGTGCTTTTTTATTAGATTATGAGGCTATGACTTTTTGTACTTCGTTTGTTGTTACGGGTTTGAAAAACATCGTTGTAGTAACATTCGCTATTGTTGTGCAGCTGTCTGAGTAATTACCCAAGAAATGTGTTTTGATTTTTTTGTCAATTATGGTTGAAAAGTATTCTCCAAATGTTTTCGCAACTTCCACTTCATTACTGAGACATGTTTTATTGTGATTCAGGATTATACGTTTACTCTCAGTTGTTCTAGATGGTTGCTTGATTGCATTGGTATGTTGATGAGACACAAAGTCATCAATGTATGTTAACTAGACATAGATTCATTAACATACCAATGTTCACAGATAATTTTAATAAGGAACTAAATCTGATAAAACAAACTGCAGTGAATAATTCATGTAATTGTAATTCATGTGAATGTAATTCATCACATCCTTGATAAAAAACGTATACCCTCACATAAAATATAATACTGGCCACTTCAAGTCTCTCACATATACCGGAACAACATCAGATAAAATAAAAAGACTATCAAGTAAACAAAATATCAACATAGCATATATGATTGGTAACTCCTTGGGTAAACATATGAAGAATAACAATTCACAGATGGATAGGGATAACAGATAAGATGTCTACAAACTAACATGCGGAACATGCCAAAAGTATATGTAGGAAAAACAACCCATACCAACCGCTAGTTCAATGCTCCCATCATTATCCTGCCCAGTTAAATTCTGTTTTGAATTCTCTCTTAAACAGATCCATCAGACTCACTGACAACCACAATAGATCCAAGGAACTAGACGAACTCAAATCCGCCCTTTGCCAAAACGACTATCCCCAATCCAAAGATCTATCCAACTTCACAAAACTCGTACCCCACATCCCAAACAGCCCAATGAATAGACGGACCACCCAAAAGCTTTTTTCCTTATAATCATCGAGTTGCCGACAAAGTGAGCCGAATTCTGAAGAGGCACGATATAAGAATAGTTAGTACCTACTCGGAGCCAACAAAACATCTAGGAAAACAATACCCAATGAGGCATAGGGCATATAGAAAATACCATGTTCCTACTGCTCCAGAACTCACTTCGGCCAGACCAACAGAAGAGTCTCCAACAGAGCCTATGAACATGAGTTTGCTCATCCTCATCTCTCTTCAGACATCATCGTGAAACAGGCCATACAATAAGCTTCGAAAACACCAAAACCATTGCCACCAAAAAAAATCTCCAGGCCAGGATAATCCGCGAAACTATAGAAACTGAATAGTGTACCAACCGCCTCAACGAACGAGATTATTAGCAAAGATTACCTCATTCATGGAGTTCATTAGTGTCACAACTCCGCTCCCACTACCGGTCCGCAACTCCACTCGTCCAGGGACAGGAAACTAACGTGCAGGTCCCATGTCCGGCAGAGGATAGGGCTGGCGAGAGCTGCCCTACGAAAACTCAATCCAATCATTGAACGAAGGAGTAACATGGGTCTCCATGTGAAACTGCTTCTAATCAAGACAGTTCTACTTCCTATCAATATGTAGGCCTCAACTACCTACACATTTTTACCTCGCGATAATAGACACTCGTCTCCGGTCAGGGAAAGCCCGTGCAAACACTACACACAGTAGAATCAGTTCAAACAAAAAACAAGAAAATAAAAGCACCTAGAACCTAGAGGCTGGCTTGAACATTTATTTGTGAATTCGTATAAATTTCTTGAGGTTCATTGGCGGTAGATTCGGATACATTTCATTGAACTTTCTACATGTTCTGCTGATAATTTTGTCACATGTTCCTACTGCTCCAGAACTCACTTCGGCCAGACCAACAGAAGAGTCTCCAACAGAGCCTATGAACATGAGTTTGCTCATCCTCATCTCTCTTCAAACATCATCGTGAAACAGGCCATACAATAAGCTTCGAAAACACCAAAACCATTGCCACCAAAAAAAATCTCCAGGCCAGGATAATCCGAGAAACTATGGAAACTGAATAGTGTACCAACCGCCTCAACGAACGAGATTATTAGCAAAGATTACCTCATTCATGGAGTTCATTAGTGTCACAACCCCGCTCCCACTACCGGTCCGCAACTCCACTCGTCCAGGGACAGGAAACTAACGTGCAGGTCCCATATCCGGCAGAGGATAGGGCTGGCGAGAGCTGCCCGACGAAAACTCAATCCAATCATTGGACGAAGGAGTAACATGGGTCTCCATGTGAAACTGCTTCTAATCAAGGCAGTTCTACTTCCTATCATTATGTAGGCCTCAACTGCCTACACATTCTTACCTCGCGATAATAGACACTCGTCTCCGGTCAGGGAAAGGAGATCCCCGTGCAAACACTACACACAGTAGAATCAGTTCAAACAAAAAACAAGAAAATAAAAGCACCTAGAACCTAGAGGCTGGCTTGCGACCAAAAGAGGTCAGATGTTAATCTTGCAGAAGTGCCAGCAGCAAGTTGAGGTTCACTCATAAATGAGTGGGGGTGGATGGAATTGGAATCTAGCTTCGCACACAGTAACCGTGTGGGGAAGATTCTATCTCGGGCATTCAACTAGGGAGAGGGCATTCGGGGGGGGGAGGGGGGGAGACCGACAGTCGACGCTTGGGAGAAAGCAGACCTCAATGTAGTGAAAGCTTTTAGAAAAT